TATTGAAACAAAGAGAATAAACGCAACTTTAATTTGAATACACTTTTTCAAGCAAATAGAATCGATGGTTGCGCGAAAGAAGGAACTATGACAGCTGGATGAGGTTGTGGATTGACCTTGCAAAGCCGAAAATACGTGGCATTTTAGCTGGAAAACTAACGAAAAGTTTCGTAAGTTTCATGCAACAAACGACCAACTTTATTGTCAATTGAAAGTTGCTTATGACAATTGTTTTCAAAATTCAAACGGAAGAATCGAGGTAAGCCAGATGAAAGCAAAAATGTTGCAGCTGCAAAGTCAATTTTCAAAGGCATTTGAGCGGATAAATGACAAGTTTATTGCTGGCGAAAAAGTTTCAACCTTTCAACTTAGTGGCATAATCCAAAAAAAGAAGAAAAGCACCATTAGCTCTATTCGACATCAAGACCAATTTCTGACTCATTCATCTCATGTGGAGAATCATGTTATTGAATATTTCAAGAACTTCTACTCCGCAGTGATCGTACAGCCTTCTACGCATTTCCCATGTAATCGGACAAATCCTGATGACTCGGAATCGAACAACCATTTGATGGATGAAATTACAACAACCGACATATTCTATGACATCAAATCAAGTGCATCGGAGAAATCACCAGGAAGTGATGGCCTGCCAAAGGAGTTTTACCTCAAGGCCTTCGAGATCATACACCTTAAATTGAACTTGATTTTCAATGAAGCATTGCAAGAGAACGTGCACGAAAAATTCATGCAAGGAGTTGTGGTTCTTTGTGAGAAAAAAAAACTACCGAAGAGTCAATCAAAGCGTATCACCCAATTTCTCTATTAAACTTCGATTATAAAATTCTTGCAAGGATCATGAAACATAGACTAAGTAAAGTAATGGAGGATAACAGGTTGTTAACTCCAAACCAAACGTGCTCAAATTCAAAAAGGAATATATTCGAAGCAGTACACTGCATCAAAGACTGAATAGTTTAACTCAACTGCAGAAAGAAATCAGGCAAACTGATATCCTTTTATCTAGACCATGCTTTTGATAGTGTTGATCACGGTTTTCTCTTGCTTGTGATGTTGCATGTGTTTAAATCCCTCATTTATTTCACTTCTCGAGAAGATTATGTCCACCTCGTGTTCACAGTTACTTATTAACGGAAATCTCTCTCCTGAATTCCCTATCCTTCGTTTCGTACGCCAAGTACCCCCTTAGTATGCACCTTTTTGTACTATACCTACATCCCCTCCTGGAAAAACTATCTTCTATCTGCAACGACCCTATGGAGCTAGTAGTTGCCTAAGCGGAAGACATTTCGATTATCATTGTATATGATAACAAATTGTATCGTGTCAAACAAGCTTTTTTTGATTTCGGAGCTCCATGAAGACTTAGGAGCAGTTTTGAACGCCAGCAAGACGATAGCAGTAAATATTGGAAGACAACGAGGAGAACATCAACCAGCGTGGCCGGTCAGTAAAGAATCAGTTAAGGTTTTTGGTGTAACCTACTCGTTAAAAATAAACTATCGATTTCAACTGGGAAGAAGCCATTCGAAAAACATACTCAAATCAAAAAACCTGACTCTACTACAGAACGTAATTATTTTAAATACGTATGTGGTATTTGGCTTCAGTTCTTAGTAACTCTGTAATTGCAAGAATAACATTTGCAAATAGGGTACTTCTCATGGTTTCCCTAGAGGAGCTCATATGGAGCAACTTACATTGCCTCTCAATTGTGGTGAACAGATTCTGCTGTAGTCTTGAGCACACACCGTTCGCACGAGATCTTTCAGTACACATAACAAATTCACCAAACATTGCGGCCATACCAGCGCCATTTCCCTCTTTTAAATTTGTTGAACCTCTTAACGGAATCCCTTTATGAAGAGCCTTGAGTGTGTTGGTTTATTTCCTTTTAATTCCGTTATAATTGCTTATGTTTTGACAGATATTCGTATTTCTTCTACTACTTGCAGACTTCATCAGTGCCTAGTACTCAACATCACTGAAGAATCCATCTTTTATCTACGAATTATATACTAATCATTAGGTACTAAAAAACAACTATCCACTGCCATGTCACAATTTACCTAACCAGGTACCTAAATTTAGTCTCCAACAGGTAGATGCGTGCTACAATGTGTGGTTTTAGGCAGCATGCTTAAGAGTCTCGAGTATCCGTTTCCTTGATCTCTATTAAGCAATGTTGATGGATTATGTTTAAATATTTATAAACTTTCTGCTACGTCTAGTTTCCAAGGTGAAGGATATACGATATTAATGTTATCCTTTGTCAAATTGTGCCTGTTGTAAAGATATGTTTTGCAACCTTGGATTTAAATTCATTATGAAGTCCTATATCCATCTCTTTGTTAGCCTTTTTTACCTCTACTGGACCTAGACCTTGACCTAGCTGGACCTAGACCTTGACCTAGTTGTAACAATGCTAAATAATACTCAACTGTCTTGCTCTAGAAGAACGATTCAAGTGCCAGATTTATTATGCTATGCCTACTAAGTTTGTACAATCAGCCGTTTTTTCTTACTGAGAAGAAGATCGTGGGTTTATTCCCAAGCTCCTAAAAAAAAACAAAAAACAATTTCTATCGTCACACCGCCTGCTTTTCCTGTCCTGAACTTTGATGGGAGAACTATTTACTCCCAAATAGTTTTCCTTAAGCAATCATAATAAGAATGTTGAAGTATTTAGATACCTGAAAGTTGCCAGAATGCCATCTCCGAATTACTCTATTAAGAACGCAACGCAACGCAGTATCTGTTTAAAAATTTTCCCACTGTATGTTTATTTAACATTACAGCCGCATGCATAAAATCCTGCCTTGTATCGGGAGTCAAAAAGGGTACCCAATGTCGTTTGAATATTTATTGGTTTCAGAGAAAAGTAAAGATTAAAATTGGCGCTTATTAAAATGGGGAAAAAAGGGGAGGGGCAGTCTCCAGAACCAGGAGGTTGGCTGATTGGCATAAAACTTTTGATTTTTTAGTTTTGGCCTACAGTAAGTAGGCTTATCAATTATGGTTCAAATAGGAGAGGTTCGATGCATTTTTTAGGTCAGTTGAGATGGACCCATAGGGTTTTTTTTTCGAGCCCATAAACTTTTTGTATATGGTCGGTTTGAAATATTGGATTGTATTTTTTCCCATACATTTCATATGCACCCTAGTGTACGTACCCACATTGAGTAATACAACAGCTAAGGCTATTTCTTTTAATATTTCATTTATTTATATTTTCCTATTGAATTTGAAAATAGCAGCTATAAAAAAAATTCACTAGGCACTATCTGGCAGACAATCGGATAGACTATCACATATTGGCATGTTACTCATCTGGCACGCATGTAGGACATAATTTCTAGCTCACGGCCTCTACTTAGTGACCTTTGTAGCTTTCTGGTTCTTCGTGATGGGCCTCTGGATGACTGTCAAGCTTGACGTAGGCCTCAACCAGTTCCTTGGGTAGTGGTGGTGGAGTTATGAGATGCGATCCATGGGCCTGGAATTATATTTATTTGGTAAATATATGGAAATATTTATTTAGTTTTGATAATGTTTAAGCAATTCAGGAAAATGATTTTATTCTAAATTTTAATCTAAAAGAAAACACTTATAAAGAAAGAAATCATTGAAATATGCAGGCTTTTGTATCTCACGAACACTACGTTTCTCTTGAGGAAAGGCTGAAAGCTCTTCAGTAACATCGTTGTTGGTACTAGACGGTTGAGCTTCACTTACAGTTTCAGGTTCGGTATCGTCGATGGTGGATTCTGTACTAATAATACTGTTCAAAGGATTGTTAAATTTTAAACATTTGGCATGATTGATATGTCTATCCATTTCTACACCCGTTGATAAATTCATCACTGTAATTCTTGTTCCATTTTTTCGTATTTCTACATATGACTGTGGGTTGAAATTAGTTGGCAGTTTATTCCGTTTGGGTCATTTCACCGAAGAGTAAGTTATTTTCTACGGTTTTGAACTATTCTCAAAACTCAAAACACTCTTGGGTTAAAAATTTTCTCAGTATGCCGCTGGTGTGCCGATTGTGCCAGCAGTGCAGAACATAGAGAAAGCTGCGGTAAAAAAAAATGCGAATATTATGGTATACTTGGCAACCCGGTATTTCTGACAGCTTGAATGTTTAAGTTTGCAATCGGAACGGCCCCGAAAATGTCTATTATCGTGCTCGATAAGGATTCCTTCTACCGACGAATAAAACGCTTCTACGCCAACTGGAAGAAACCAGAGACCATGGGAAAAGTTGATGTGGATTGAATTCTGACGGCGGTTGGCGTAGACGAGAAAATCATCCACAGAAAATCAACCGCGTGGCAGACCTGGCTGCTGGGACACGAGCTGACCGATACGATTACGGTGCTGATGATGATATGATGATAGTGGTTTACCAACCATTGTAGCACGGAAATTAAGTCCGACAGCAGTGGGCCCTCTTCTCTGTTTGTCTTGATCAAGCTTAATAACCTTTGATTGTCCTCAACATGTCGCTGTATGAAGGGCCAAACATGGATTGGGTAGATCGATACACAAAGTCGCCTATACGCATCTATGGAACAATAAAGAATCTCCTTCCAGCAACTGATCAGTCAATTGGTCAAAAAGACAAGCCCCCAAACAGGAAGATGCCTCAATGAGTGGGGAGAAGAGCCCGCCCTTTATTCACGAAATGTTATCAACAGGGAGCTGGCATTCCCACTCTCCCCGTCCAAATCGCTTCAATCGGGTGCCCTGTTGGACCGTCCCTTCCCTTTTAAATATGTATTTCAATGTATATACAAGTTGATTGTTATGATTATTGTAAATAATACTTACATTTCGATGAAGATCGTGCTACTTACTTTACTTTTTTTCTGATACTTATCATAACAGAAACCAATATTGAATCGTAGGCCAGGTCCATCAACAATACACTCGTTCCGAAACGGGGCTCTGTGATAAAGCCATTTTCTTCTTCTTCATCATGTTCGCTCACCACCCTGAATGCTAGGAGATGATCTATTCTGGGATGGCACTGATGTTGTGGAAGTACCGTTGTTGTGTCCATTGGCAGTGTTACCGTTGCTCCCATTGCTGCTATGGCCGTTGGTATGTGTGACTCCGTTTCCATTCTGATGATGTCCATTCGACGATGATGTCTTGCTGGAGCCATTGCTGTGGCCGTTGGGTTTTGCCCAATGCGTGGCGTCGCTTCCGATGGGCAGATTGCTCTTCATGTGATTCTTGGCCGGTGTGTAAGGGCGGTTCACTTCGCCGAATAGACGGTTGTGCGAGTCCTGACCGGCGGAAGGTACGACGTGGCGTTTCCGATCCATTTCCGGCCTTTGCCCTTCCGGGCACGAAACGAGCAAAAAAAAAAAAAATCTTGACCGATACGATTACGGTGCTGTGCGAAAAGTCAATCTTTTCCTGATCAGCAAGAAGAAGATCGAGAAGGACGGTGAGGAGGGCATTCCGTCGGTGAATTTGTTGGTTCGGAATAAGAACGACAAAGACAAGGCCAATTTTGAAAAGCTGCTGGAGGCGATCAAGGGATCCAAGGATGGTAAAACGTTGGGCGTCTTCTCCAAGGAAAATTTCCCAGGTGAATTCTGTGAATCGTGGCGAGTCTTCATCGAGGACAAGAGCTTTGAAACGGTGGACATCAGCGTCCCAACCGCGTACATGATGTGCTACTATGGTGGACGTATTCAACAAGTACCTCAAGGATCACATCATGGAGATTATGAATGGTGATAAGAAAGTAAAACATGTCAAACTGTCGGAACGTGTCGAGCAGGCTCTGACGGACAAAAGGTACGTCTCCGGTGTGGATACCAACTAGTTGGACATGTGCTACCCGGCGATTATCCAGTCGGGTGGCAATTACAGCTAGAAGTTCAGTTCATTCAGCGACAAGAATTATCTGCACTTTGGATCGATCATCTGTGCTCTGGGTGCGCGTTACAAGTCCTACTGCTCCAATGTCGTCCGAACGTTGCTGGTCAATCCGACGGAAACGATTCAAAAGCACTACACCTTTCTGCTCAATCTGGAAGAGGAACTTATCAGTGCTAGTTTTAGATCATTGTTTAGTTGTCTCCCGTTAAACTGAAAGTCAAATACTAGAACAATTAGTAGTTTTAGCTTTAATGGCGAATTAATTGCATAACAGTTTTAATTAGAGGGAATTGAATTTTATGTAAATTGTCAAATTACACACAAAAAATCAGTGAGTAACCAGCTCTAAATTTACCATGAGATCACTGCTACTATTGCTCAAGAATTCTCCGCAGCATTTTTTATTTTATCTCCCACGGTATGTAGTTGGAATTATTATTGCATTTCTTTTGGAATCCCTGGCAGGATTTCTTTGGAACTCTAGTCAGAATTTTCTTGGAATTGTGGTCAGAAATCCCTTGAAATTCACATTTAAATTTTAGAGGTTGTTTGAGGTACTCCTTGAAATAACTTTTTTCATTATTGCCTTTAAATCCTCCATCCCTAAGAATATATACCAGAATTCCCTGTGAGTTCTCTGCAGAATGCCCTTCGAATCACGTCATTGATTTATTGTCAAAGAAATTAATGTCGTAGAAATGATTCTAGACAGAATCTTCTGTAATACTCCCCTTTGTCTTGTGACCCATGGTGGATCCCTGGTATTAGGATCATGCAGTGCATCCATTATAAAAAAAATACTTAAATGCATTTTCCAAACGAGTTGTAAGTATAGTGCGCAGTTTTTTTCCCCAGCAAAAACCGCAAATCTCTGCCAGAATCCCATTTTAACGATAGAGTTGATTCGCTAACGAGAAAAGCAGCTATCGGTGCAGAAGAAAGGAAGACTACAATTGCTTTCATAATCTTATCAGCCGTCAGTCCCAGTAAATGACAAGTTGGGTGAGCTTTTGAAGCTTTTCTCTTGCTGCTGCTGGTTGGACCGCACGAATGCAAATTTTTGTGATCGACCACAGAACAGAACAGCGAAAGAAAAAGTGCTTTGTTCCAGCAGCTCCCGGACGGTTTCCCCTTGTCCCACCCAGCAGTGTCCGTATACTTTGATATGTATCTTTTGTGGAAATGCTCACATGAATCATGATGAACTTGTCGAGCGGAATGGAAGATATGATGACCGAAGCCACATACAAAAAAGTTGGACGAACGCTGGATTTTTTCCCTTGGAATCCTTCTTGCTTTGAGGGTGGACTTTTTTGTGTGTTTTCACTCTCCGGCAGCGTTGGCGGCGGTCTGCATCAGACAAGCTCTCTTTCGCAAATTTGCACCAGCATGGAAGGCAGCATGCAGTAGTATTGTTGCACTCCCACCGGTCGAAGCGAGATCTGACTACGGTGGTGGTGGGCGGCAGAGCAAGAGGAGGTGAGTAGTGTACAATAACATTGCTGAAAAAATAAAATCCACCCGTTTGGAGTCGTTGTTTCGGCAGCGTAGATAGTTGCTTCGAGTGCACCTCGCTAAGAGGAGCCACATCAACAACGTCATAGAGGAGACCACCGACTACTGTTTGGTGGTCGATAGCTCGATGAGCTGTACTCGAGGGTCACATCGCTTGGAATCGAAGAAGGTGATTCTCCTTAATACGACTCTGCCTAAAATTGTGAAAACCATCATGTGGAGTGCTCGACAGTGCAGCAACGAGCATATGCAGATCTGTTCGGGAAACCTGCTACTGCTGCGTGCAGCCATAATGGAGTTAGATAATGTCACTCACAATAATGTCATGTGCTAATTGCAAAAATGTTCATTATATCCATTGCTCCACTTTGTTCTACATCGACAGCAATGGTGCTTGGGAACGTGTCTGGGACTTTTTTTTGCTTTGTGTCATGTGATGTGGGGTAAAGGAAATTATTGAGGAGACAGCCGCTTGAGTTGACAAAAAATCTTCAAACGACCAAATCACTGCAGCAAACTCTCACCATTTTCTACAAAGAAAAAAAAATCGAAAACTTTCTCCCTAACCAATTCCATGTTCACACTTCATCACCTCAAACTCTTCAAGCGTGGCGTTTGAAATAACATTAAACTTTTCTACACTTTGGCGCCTCCCCTTGCCAGCCTCCATATCAGCCATCATCGTCACCGTCATAGTTAGCTTGCCAGTTCAGGAACTTACACAGTAACCAGCTGCAAGTGGCTCGCCCTTTCCTCCATTAAAATCCGGTGATCCGTGAAATTGTCACTGCGACTCCCGAACAATTTCGATCACATGCTTCCAGCACTCGGTACGACGGCGGGTGGAAACAAGTTTCACAAAGAAAGGAAAAAAGAACCGAGCTACAAGAATCGGCAGACGACTACTTCCTTCCGGTTATCGAAAGTTTTTTTTTGTTGTTTCCTTTGTTCGGCTGTCAGCTAGACTTACATATGCCTACGCTTACACCATCACCACCACCACCTGCGTAACAGGAGAGTGAGAGTGCGTCGAGCAGAAATTGAGAATTTTCCGCACTGTAATGCGATAAGTGTGTAATATTAATGGGAAAACTTTGCCACTTAATTCTGGGTTGTTGGCTTCCCGGTTCTGGGCGACAGTCCAATCCAGTCAGTCAGTGCAGTTGGATGCTGGGCTGTGTTTTTCTCATTGAGTGGAAAATTGGTATTAGTGTCTGCTTCTGAAGTCGATTTGGCTGTCCGCTCTTAACTTGACTAGAGGTGGGCAATCTCACGATATCTAGATCTGCAGGTTTGCATGATTATTTCAAACTAGGTAACAGATTTTCTCGTTCAGTAATCAAAGGAACACATTTTAGACCTTGTTGCGTTTTACGCTTTGTTGATGGTTGCAAAACTAGGTTTGCTCATGCGAGTATGATCTTGAAGCAAGGAAAAGGTTAGTGGTCTATGTTATTCTTATTCTGCATTCGTTGATCAATAGTTTGAAGTGCTTAAGGCTAGGGTTCTGATGCATGGTTGATGATTTTATCATCAAGGAACCCGATTTGGATTTGTTGGGAATTTGTCAAATTACACAGGGAGATTTTCAATACAATAATATTAGAACTACCGAAGACGTGGGATTTACGTTCATGAATTATATTATTATATTCCTGGAAAAAGATTCAGGAAGGATGTTACGTTAGTGAACATGTTTGCATCTTAATATTAGTCTATTAGTAATTTGCCTTTGTAACTTACGTTTAGTCCCGTTGTGCTACACTTGCAAGCGATCGGAATTAAGGGTCGAACGAGATCGTCTCGTTTTGTTGGTGGTCGTCGCAATAGGCAATCTAGCAAACAATTTATCCGTACTGAATCCTATAAACTATAATTCCTTGAATGAACCGGGAATTGAACCCAGCCACCTCCAGCATGGTCTTGCTTTGTAGCTGCGCCTTTACCGACTGAGCTAAGGGAGGCAGCGTTGCCAGAATGTTTTAAAGCTTATCGGTATCAAAGGTATTAAAAAATCGGTATTTATCGGTATTTACTAGGGGAATTTATGTATTCTCGGCAACCTAAGCAGCGACCTTCTTTCTATAGCCTTTTTCTCTAAGGAACGCACACATATGCAGTATTGGTTTGTTTACAATCTTTTGCTGCCAGCTGCTCTAACAATTTCAGTGGAAAGAATTGTCAAAAACTGTTTTGAAACGCTTTTACAGAGCTCCAATCTTCTCTAGTGAGAGCGAGTATTGTCGGCAACCAGTTTTTCTTCGGCAACCGTTCCATTTGAAATGCATGTAAATCTGCTGTTCTATTATCGGCAACTCGAAATCAACTACAATTTGTAGTGCGTGTGTTGCATTTCAAGCAAACCTTGCTAGATTGCTTTTTCTCAGTGGTAAAAATATAGTCAAATTGAAGCTGAAAGCATAAAGAATCGTTTGCATGCATTCAGCGAAGTGTTTTCGTAAGAAAATCCAGTGAAAATAGTGTTTCAATTTGTGTTGCCGAAAATAGTCTGTCATGCCGAAGCCGTCATTCCCCATATTTAATTTTTAAAGTTTTGCCGTTTATTTTTTAAAGATCGTGACGACTGGGATTTACGGGAAATTTCTCGACGGCTTTCTCAGTCTTAAAACATTCTTTATTTTTTTTAATTTAATTTTTAAAATTATCGTTGTCCTTAAGTGGTAATCAAAATTGTGAACAAGTAGTGTTTTTATTTCAATTAAATATCATGAAATGAAACCATAATATGGAAACAACAACGACTAAACTATTGACTATAACGACAAACAATATTTTCCCTAGCTCATGGCTGAAATGTCGGGCAGGTTACATCGTAGTCATTGCAGTGTTTTAAGACTGAGAAAGCCGTCAATCAAAGCTAAATTTTAACATTTGAACTATGATCGGAACATTCCGAAAG